TGATCCAGCCATCCCACTTATGGGAATATATAAAAAATAAATAAAAAGAAGATCTTAAAGAGATATCTACAATCCCTGACCGCAAAGGAGAGAGGTCTGCCGTCCCATGTTTATTTCAGCATTATTCACAATAGCCAAAACAATGAAGTGTCTGTCAATATATGAATGGATGAATAAAAGATGTACCTGTCAAAGAGGCTGAGAAATAATTTACAATTATAATTTTTTAAAGTAAATACTCTAAGAAAATGGAGGTCAGGAGAGAAGATTTAGGAAAAAAACAAAAAAACAAAACAACAACAACCATAAAATAAAACACAGTCTAAAGTTTAATCCAGCTGAGGGATTGGGTCCTCTTGGTTAATACATAGAAAACTGACTCTTATTAGGATATCATGATAATTTGGACATCATGATAATTTGGATCTTATTAGATAAAGCAAATAATTTGTCCATGGTCACAAATTTAATTCTTAAGTCAGAGTTCTGTAACCTACTTGCTTGATTTTAACATCCGTGATCTTACCCTTTGTGCTAATTTGAATTGCTAAATTAGAGTTCTCCTTTTATGTCTCCTCTAAGAGCTCCTGGCCTGGTGACTTGCATGACCCTTTCTGATATAAGATTGGCTGCCTTTGCAAAATACAGGTGTCAGTTGATATTCACTGAGACATTTTCTGAAAACAATTCTAGAATCAGAAGCTGTTTTGAGCAGGGCATTTGAAAAAAAAGCTTTGTTTAGTATTCCCTGTGTTTTCTTTGAAATAATCTCAAGGCATTAAATATATTCCATGCTTAATCCTACCTATAAAAAACAAAAAAATCCTAATCAATAAAACTGAGACCCTTAAAAAGTTGTTAAGATAATTTTCCATGGAAAGAAGTAAATTAACATACCCCTCTCCCATTTTTTCTGATTCTTTTGGACATATTGAACAGAACCACAATAGAAATATAATTATTCAATTTCCTTCATTTTGAGATCTGGAGTTAGATGAGGAACAGAAAAACTTACAGGAAGTTTTACTTTTGGACTGACACCTGAGTCCTGAGGGCAATCTATAAATAAATGAATTTTAAAAGTATTATAGGTATTACATGTATTTTTTTAAAATGCACACTTCATACATGTACAACTTAATGAAGTTACAAAGTTGTAACCACAGCTGAAGGAAGATACCCTAAGAGTTTGTGGGAGTTCTAACTTGTTTTTTAACTCTCAGAAGATTGAGGGGTTCATAGGAGAATTCAGATTCTCTGATCTTAATCTGAATGAACATTTCTACCTGTGTTTTTCTAAAGCTTTCCACCTCATTACTTCAACAATTCTATGGCAACTGAAGTTTAAAATTCTCTTCAGCTGGTTATTTCCATATTTACAAAGCCTCAGGACTATCCTTGGCGATCCTCTTACAGTCAATGTTAGTTTTCCTCCATCAGCAGAATCAAGTTGTTATTTTGAAACTAATTAATGTCATCTTTCTTTGCACTAGTCAATGAGGTCCATCTTGTCACCCACATGCCACACTGGGACATCTTGTCAAAGCCATTATGCTGCAAGCCTTTTGAAACCATTTTCACAAGTCAAATGACTAGTCTATACATGAAGAATAAAAGTCTCCCCAGTCAGCTAAAATGTTGCTGTTGTCATTTTTAATGAAGTTGTCCTATAAGAGCAAAGCACCCAGTTCTGACACAGACATATATCCATGTATGGGTATAAGATAGGTTTTAATGAATGAATCTTTACATAAAAATTGGAACTGATTGCACATTTAGATGAAGCTAATTTAGTAAGCCAATAACCGATAACTCCATATGATAGACATTATATCTGTGTAATTGTTTGCTGTTGCCAGGCCTGCCAGTTGATAGACTGAGGAGGAAGGCTGTCAGTGGGGTGTTATGGATCAGCTAGTTGTCATCCTAGACAAGAATGCAGAGGCAGCACTCTCTCTGTTCCCATCAATTAGAAGGAAAATTCAATTCCTTTGCATCAGTCTTTCCTTTATTAAATTACTGGAGGCCTGGTGCATGAAAATTCACACAATGGAGAGAGGATCCTCCCACAGTTCGAGAGCCCTCGGGGTATGTGAAGAGACCCAGCGATCAAGGGAAGGTGATACCCCCATCACACCTCTGCTGCTGTCACTGCCGGCAGCACAAGCCTTGGCCAGCCCTGGTTACCTGAGCCTTGGGAAGCCCTGAGTGGCTGCACAGCATCCATCTGAGGCTTGCCTGTGCCTCGGGCCGGCCCTGGGTGGCTGTGGGGCTGAAGAGACAGGGGGACTCTGGAGGGTGGGGCAATCAATTAACATATCTTCTCCTTATTGGCTGTGGGTGCCACCATCTTTGCAACAGTGTAAGGGTCAATTAACATATTCCCTCTTTCTTAGATAGGATTTGATTATTATTGTTTCTTATTATAGAATGACTACTCTTCAAATATTTTGGTATTCTGATGTATTCTTTTCTTTTTTTTAAATATATTTTTATTGATTTCAGAAGGGAAAGGAGAAGAAGAGAAAGATAGAAACATCAATGATGTTTCACTGGGGATGGAGCCCACAACCCAGGCATGTGCCCTTGATTGGAATTGAACCAGGGACCTTTCGGTCTACAGGGCAAGTCTCTATCCACTGAGCCAAACCAGCCAGGGCTAATGTATTCTTGAAGATGTAACCATAGACAACGTTAATTAACTCACGAGCTGAGTAGCCTGATTGGAGTGAAAAGTGTACATGAAATGTCTTAAGGACTTTTCATCACATGAGTTCCATAAAAGCTCTTTGCTTCACCGATTGCAAAGGGAAATGAAGCAGTTTTATATTAAATGGTTCATGGAAGGTTTTTATTTTTTTTATTTTTCTTGTACAGAAACACAAGTGTATTATCCATTTGGGGAGGAATTTAATACTTTATATTTAAGTAATGCTTTACTATTTTCAAAGTCCCCCATAATTATAAAAACAAGAAACACTGAATATTTTGTATTAGAAAATCAGAAGATTCTGTCTGGAATTGTGGCAGATAAAAATCAGCATCATATACTGAGGTTGGTCTTCCATAGAACTAATTCTCCATTACAATTGGCTCTTTACAGATTTCTCTGGGTAAACATGCTTCATTCTCAGGCATTGGGACAAACTGATCCACAACAGTCAACAAGAAATTAGAATGGAACACCATTGCTACAAGTTGCACTGTGTTAAAATTATTTAAACCAAATACCATCAAATCAGCAAAGTTTAAATCTGTATGGGATCTAGAAAAAAAAAATAGAAAAAATATTTTATATGTAACTGTCTGCATCAAAGAAACAAACAAACTTTGAGTCCTATGACATTTATAATCTCAATTTAACCATGTTTTTTTGTTTGTTTGTTTTTTCCTTTGAGGATTGGCCAGCGATGACCATGGCACATACATGTACAAGTGCTTTTAGTTTTATTTTTTGATAGAGGATCTGTAGCTAAGGAAGCTTTCTGCATCTTTATGGTCACATATGAAATGGTTATATACATTCTTACATAACATTTCAATATTCACGGTTTGGCTCTGTATTTCAGTGATTTGTGTTTCTGAACACTGCCAACACTTTGGTATGTGATCCTCTTAATAAGCATCATTCTTGATTTCTGATCATAGAGAATTTTCACCTAAAGCTTGTCATATATATGCTTTCTGAACAACCGAACTTCCCTTCTACCTTCTGTTTACTGAAGATTTTTCAGAGATTAATAGGAATTGAAAAATATGAAATAATTTATGCAACCGTTGAGGTGATCATACTACCCTGTTTCCCCGAAAATAAGACAGTGTCTTATATTAATTTTTTTCTCCCAAAGTTGCGCTAGATCTTATTTTCAGGGGATGTCTTATCTTTCCATGCTCTAGGTCTTATTTTCGGAGGATGTCTTATTTTCGGGGAAACACGGTAGTATAATGCTGCTCCTTTTCATCTGAAAATGTTAAATTATATTTATTACTGTTGAACCACTTTAAGTTTGTGTGATAAAGACTACTTTACAATGATACATTATTATTTTAAAATAGTGTTCTCAGGTTAGTTCATTTTTATTTATTTATTTATTTATTTATTTATTTATTTATTTATTTATTTATTTATTTTTATTTCAGAGAGGATGGGAGAGGGAGAGATAGAAACATCAATGATGAGAGAGAAATACTGACTGGCTGCCTCCTTCACATCCTACACTGGAGACCAACCTGGTTAGTTAATTTTTATTTAGAAGTTTTCATAACTAAGTTGATAATTGAAAATGACCTTTAATTCTCTTAATCCTATTCACTCTCAGTATTTTATATTGTATTAATATATCTTATAAGTTACATGAACCTTACAAAGACAAGCTGAAATTTTAAAATTTTTTCATCCATTATTTAGATTAAACTTGCATATCATATAAATTAGTCATTCCTTGCATATTTGTATAAAATCAATTATAAAGCCATCTGGGCCTGTTTTTTTTTTTTTGGTTTTTTTTTTTGTTTTATTGGAAGGCATGTTTATAATCTATGGTGGTGAAATAATGTGGTTGTAGAGAAAATATTTTTAAGTTTCTACATAGGACTTTCTGAAGGAACTTCAGTGAAACCTGGAACTTGTGTTAAAAGAGCGAGCCATAGCCTTGGCCAGGTGGCTCAGTTAGTTGGAACATCATCCCAAATACCAAAAGATTGTGGGTTAATCCTGGTCTGGGGCATACAGGAGCCAACCAATCAATGTCTCTCTCTCTCTCTCTCTCTCTCTCTCTCTCTCTCTCTCTCTCTCTTTTTATCATTCTCTCTCTCCTCCCATTCTCTCTTTCTAATATATATATATATATATATATATATATATATATATATATATCCCCATCCTTGGGTGAGAATAAAAAAAAAGGGGGCAAGCCATAGAATTTAATTTATTACTTTGTAGATATTGAAAAACTCCACAGAGATTTATCTAACTACAGAAGTATATTTTTATGCTTGGGAAATAATTCATCTTGAACTATATAGTTTAAAGCAATAGTCTTATGTTTTCCCTGGAGAGTATTATTTACATTCCAAAGAATTAAAGTAGAAATTTCCCAGAAGACATACTATGATGGGTAAAGGTGTATCAACTGTCTATTTTTTTTCCTGTATATTAGTACAGAAAATGTATTTCTCTATTTCTTGCCTATAAGACAGGCTTTGTATGTAAATGATATTTGATCCAATTCTCATCATGTTGGTGTAAATGTAAGAACTAAGATACAGGGCCATAACATGCTCATTATTTGCTGTGAGGTAAATAATAAAAAATTGGTTCTGATTCAGAAATCTTCTGTGTGCAAAAAAATAAAAAAGATAAACATTAAAAACTCATGCTGACTACAAAACTCTTATGGAGATTTTCATTAGCATTTCATGAAACAGCCCTGGGTGGATCATCATCCCATATCCCAAAAGGTTGAAGGTTCAGTCAGGGCACATACCTAGGTTGTGGCTTTGATACCTGGTCGAGGGCATATGGACAGCAACCGATTGATGTTTCCTTTCTTCCTTTCTCTTTTTCACTCTCTGTGAAATCAATAAGAACATATTCTTAGATAAGGGAAAAGGAAAAAACAAAAACAAAAACAAAACATCAGGAAACATTTAAATAAGGAAATTATTGACATCTTTGCTAGTGAGTCTTCCAATTCATGAACATGAAATGTCTTTCCATTTATTAAGTTTTCTTAGATTTCTTTTCAGTTTTGTTGAAGTGATTGTAAATGGTTTGTAATTTTGAGTTTCACATATTCATTGTTCATAATAGAAATGTAATTGGTTTAAGTGCACTGAGTGTATAGCCTGCAAAATTTCAGGACTTATTATTTTAAAGGCTTTAATTTATAACTTTATTCTACTTTCCACATTGCCCATCATGACATCTGCAAATACAGACAGTTGGTCATATTTTGTTATTTCAAATTTATATGATTTTTTTTCTTTTTCATTGCTTTGTTGCAATGGTAAGAATTTCCAGGGTTAAGTTGAATAATAATAGTACAAATGGTCATCCTGTCCTCTTCCCCACTCTTAGGGGAAATGCATTGGTCATTAAGTACAAAGGACCTGCAGATGTTTTATAGATTTTTTTCAAGGTGAAGAAGTTCCCTTCTAATCTTAGTTTCTCAGGCTTTATATGCTGGATGATATTGAATTATTACAAAAATAATTTTCTGATTCAATTGACTATACATTTTTTATTTCAGTCTGAGATATTGTAGATTATTTTCATTGACTTTGGAATGTTGAACTGGCCTTGTACATTTGGAATAAATCTGAGTTACAATTGCAATTCTTTTCAAACATTGCTGTATTGTTTTGTTAAATAGCTTTATACTGTATTCATGAGAGAATTACCTGCTCTATTTTTGTAATATCCTTGTCATTTTGTTTTTATTTATTTGTTTGTTTTTAATCAAGTTAGCACTGGCATCATAAAGTGGGCATGGAAGGGTTCTATTTTCTGGAAGATATTATGTAGAATTGATGTTAATTATTATTTAAATGTTTGGTAGCACACTTCAATAAGCTAACTGAGCAAGGAATTTCTTATGTTGAAAACTTTTAAGTAGAAATTTAAAAATGTTAATAGTTATATGGATATTCAGACTATTTCATATTGGTTGAGTTTTAATAGTTTGTAGTTTAGAGTAATTTATATTTTTCTAATTAATCAAGTATATGAATGTTAGATTATTTATATTATTCATTTATTATCCTATAAATGACTACAGAAGATGTAGTGATATGCTGGGTCTCATGTCTAATGATGATAATTTAGGTCTTTTAATTTTTCTCAGTCTTGATATAGTTGATCACTATTATTGAATTTTTTCTTTCCACTGGGCACTATATCTATAAGTCTATTTATATTTTGTTTGTTTATTTTTTGTTCTTTACATTCCACATATAAGTGAAGTTATATAGTATTTGTCTTTGTCTGACAAATTTCACTTAACATAATATTCTCTAAGGCCATCCATGTTATCACAAGTGGTAAGGATTTCATTCTTTTTATGGCTATGTAATATCCCATTGTATATGTGTAGCACATCTTTAACCACTTATCTATCAGTGGGTACTTTGGTTGCTTCATATCTTGTCTATTGTATTTAATTCTGCAAAGAACAATTTTAAAGAGTAACCTCTGCAAAGATCTCCACCCTTATGCGAATAATTTTCTCCCAAGTATTTTTATTTGAAAGAAGAAAAAGAGTTATAATTTAGCTGGTATACTTTTATCACCTGCATATGGCTCTCAGTGACACTAGTAACCACTTGCTAAAGAGTGCTAATTTGTGTGTATGATGCCTGACCACCAGAAGCAAAATGCATTAGCCTTAAAGCCATCTGTGTTTCTTGGCTTTCTCTCTAAGAACTGAACCATTATCCTGAGTTGCTCTATCCAAGCACTGGTTCAATCAGATTGCTATGCCGTTTTTCCTAGCAGATTTCATTTCAATTTTGAGAAAGTTCCACTCTGGCATAAAGAACCAGAATTCTGACGGCTTTTAAAACCAAAGTATGCACCTATAAGTTAAAATTTATTCATTGGATAGTCTGGTCCAAAGCCTCTAAAGCCAAAACATCTTCTTTATTCTCTGATCCTCAACACGCATCTGGTTCTCTAGTTTAGAGTTTTAATCTATTTATTAATAGTTCTACCCTTTGCATTTAAACTTCGCTTATATGCCAATTTTTGCTGTAAAACAAAATACAAATTGTCCATCTGTTCTTGCATATCCCCAAATCAATAGCTTAAGATAACAACCATGTATATAGCTTATAATTCTGTCAGTTGGAAATTCAGGCTGAGCTCAGATAATTGATTTTTTGTTTCTTTCTGCTGCGCATGTGAAATCAGATGATCATAGAGCTGCCTGGCGAGTCTGGGTGGCCTCAGGTTGAATGATTTGTCTCTGCCTCATGTGGTTTCTCATTATCAGACAAGCTAGTCCAGGCCTTTCCATATGTCAGTATGAAAATCTCAAGATCCTGAGAAGAAACATACAAAACCTCTTGAAGTCATGGCTCAGAATGGGCACATCCTTTATATCATCATCTTCTATATGCCACAGCAAGCCAGTAGTCTAATGTGCACTAAAACAGTAGGGAGATAGGGTCCAAATCTTAGATGAGTGGAGATTCACAGTTTTACCATAAAGGCACTCATCCTGGGAAGGAATCAATTGCAGACAATTTTGCAATCAACATGATATATATCGTGTTGATTGCACCGCCTCTATAGGCCAGGAGGAGCTGGGGTGGTGCAGAATGCCTGTGTCATAGCCATGGCAACGTCACAAGGGTCCCTCCCCGTCCCTGGACACTTGGTGCCTGTGTATGCAAATTAACCTACCATCTTTGTTGGGTTAGTTTGCATATTCACTCCTGGTGGGGGTCATGAAGGTAAGGTCAATTAGCATGTTTCTCTTTTATTAGGCAGATTATTTGTGTGTTCTCAAATTGTCCTATGAATTCACATTTTAGAGTGCTAACCATCTAGTCTATTGGGGTTTATTATTTTCTATATTATGGTGATTTCCTGGTTAATTTCATTGTGAGACCCATAGAGATGGTGTGTGTGTGTGTGTGTGTGTGTGTGTGTGTGTGCATGTGGGTGCCTGTGTGGTGATGTTAAAAGGTGGAAAAGAGGCTCATTACTCTCAATATATGGAAGTTTTGCTAATGATTATTTTGTTTTGTTTTTAATAGTGCTTTTTTTCTAAGTGGTCTTGAAGTTCTGTGTGTACAAGAATGTTGTGGGGAGATTTCCATACAATGCAAGTGATATAAAATTTAACTCTAATCTATACTCACAAAATGATACTTTTGTATCTTCTCAAGATATCAGGCAGAGGTAACCATCTCAGTGCAAATAACGTATTTTTCTAGTCTGTGTTTCCCTGTGAAAACTGTTTTGGGGCCTGGGCTGGTTAGGCCTTTTAGTTTCAACTCCCTTATTTGGACATATGGTCTTCAGTCTCCCTCCCTCCCCCCATCCTGTGCCACAGACTTTCCTAGACTCGCATGCTATCAGCTTGTGAATTTATGTTTCTCACCTGAAACCCTTTCTTTTCTTCAGACACAGAAGGATTTTTATTTCTTTTATAGTGAGTTTAACTTTTACCTTTTTGCTTTTATATTTCATTTTTTAATTTTCTCATGTTTAAAGCAGGGAGGATATTCTGCATTATTTCTTTCTAATCTTCTCTCCAAATAGCTGGGAGAGATATTTTTGTTTGTTTTAAATTTTAACTAATCTAGATTATAGGACAGGCAGCAATCACTAATAGTAGCTTGTTGTGAAAATTCACCTCAGTGTTTGACAAGCCAGACAAGTCTGTTTTAAACATCAGAGCTTGCCTTAGTGTTAATTGAACCCTGAGTTTTTTATCAATGCAAATATCTCATTAGGAAACATATTGTTTCCTTTGATCCACTGTGGTCTTTGAAGTCCCTGCAAAAATTCAACACAGGGGTGCTATATACTTGATGAAACTGCCTAGTAAAATCCTGACTTTCTCCACTGACATCACCTTAAAAATTATTGTCTCCAATCAGAAGTGTCTTATTTACTACTATCTTCTGTATGTGCATATTCCACAGACTAGTAGTTTTAAGTGATCATCTTTAAGCCTTTACCTGGCACACTATAATCATAGGGGAAAGATGTCTCTTCTAGATTATACCTTATACATACTGTTTTACGGTGGAATGGAATAAAATTACTCAAACAGTGTCAATAACCACTACTCCCAGAAGAAATTCAGTTAAAAAAATGAGATAGGCCGAAACCGGTTTGGCTCAGTGGTAGAGCATTGGTCTGCAGACTGAAAGGTCCCAGGTTCGATTCTGGTCAAGGGCATGTACATTGGTTGCAGGCACATCCCTGATAGGGGTGAGCAGGAGGCAGCTGGTCGATGTTTCTCTCTCATCAATGTTTCTAGTTCTCTATCCCTCTCCCTTCCTCTCTGTAAAAAAATAATAAAAAAATACATATTTTTTTAAATGAGACAGGTGGCCAGGACTGGTTTGGCTCAATGGATAGACCGGCTTGGGGACTGAAGGGTCCCGGGTTCGATTCTGGTCAAAGGCATGTACCTTGGTTGCGGGCATATCCCCAGTAGGGAGTGTGCAAGAGGCAGCTGATCTATGACTCTCTCTCATCGAGGTTTCTAACTCTCTATCTCTCTCCCTTCCTCTCTGTACAAAATCAATTAAATATATTAAATAAAATGAGACAGGTGACGAAACAATTTTGAAATATACTACACATTATTCTATTTTGGGGATATTTATAATCCATATTCATATTAGAAAAAGTTCTGATATAAAGAACTTTGTCTTATTTTTTAACCCAATATATATTTTGAAACTTTACTTTTTAGAGCAGAACTAGGATCATGATAAACTCGAGAGATAGATACAGAAAAATTCCATATATTTTTTGTGCCCACATATGTATATCCTCCCCCATTATCAACATCACTCACCAGAATGGAACGTTTTTTACAAAGGAAGAACTTGCTTTGAAACATCAAATCACCCAAACACCAAAGTTTATCTCAAGGTTAAGTCTTGATGTTGTACATTCTACAGGTTTAGATAAATTTATAATGACATGCACTCATCCTTATAATCATATTAGAGGCCTGGGTGAGGGGCCTGTGGTGGTTTGCAGGCCAGCCATGCAGCCTGATGACCCAAGTGGAGGCCCTGGTATCTGGAATTTATTTATTTTATACAATTTAAACTTTATAGACTAGAAGCATAGCCAAGCTCCCTGCTTGCTCCGAGGCTCCTGCCATTTCTGTTTGGATTTGTTTACCTTTTATAATTGAAACTTTGTAGCCTGGAGTGGAGGCCTAGGGTGGCCAGGGCTGCAGAAGCTTGGCTTCCTCTCTTGCCAGGAAACCCAAGCCTCTCTCCTGCTCTCTGTGGCCACAGCCATCTTGGTTGGAGTTAATTTGCATACTCACTATGATTGGCTGGTGGACGTGGCTGTGGGTGTGGCTGGTGGAGTGTAGCGGAGTGATGGTTAATTTGCATTTTACTCTTTTATT